ACCGACTAGAGGAAAAAGGAAGGAAAAAAAAAGAAGAAAAAAATAATTTTAAAAATAATTTTAAAATGTCCACGTCAGTGCCAGTCATGCCACGTAGGATGGATACTCCATGTCAGCGACCAGATGGACTGAATTTGTACAAATGCAAAATGTTTAGGACACAATTGTAATAGGTTTATGACTTTTTTGGTAATTCTCGTCTCCAATTCATGACCAGTGGGTGAGCCTGTTAAGTGCCTTCTTGGTGGAGGCAAGATGGCTCGCGACTGGTCACTACCCAACAACACAAGACTACTTGAACAACGCAATCGTCAGCTCCGGAGTGCACGTCTTGTTGGTAAACTTATTCTTCCTCTTGGGTGAGAGAATCAACCCCCAAAGTGTCAATCTTTTGGAGAACACACCCGAAATTGTATCTTCCACGGCTTCTATTCTTCGCCTTTGGGACGACTTGGGAAGTGCCAAGGTGAGTGATAATTTCATCGCATCTTAGCAAGATCTTGTCGGTTGGTCGAATGGGAAAGAAATGTCATTCTATCTTTTGCTAGATGCTTCAAGTAAGTTCATAATATCTTAGCAAGTGTGTGTCGGTGGCACGGGGTCTAACCCCCTTTACTCTTTTAGACCTATGGTGAGCATGGCAGTTTGTAATTAAAAATAGTTTAGAAAGTGACGGTTGATTTTGAATGGAAATCGGTTGATCGAATGGCAAACAAGATTTTGTCGTGAAACTAAGCACATCAATTATTTCAGTGCAAGTTCGTAATATTCCGCTCGCGTGTTGGTAGCACATGGTCTTCCCTTTTTCGTCAATTATAACTTGTGAACTCACCAACAAGATGGTCAGAACATCCGTCCCATAAACATAAGAAAATGTCTAGCTAATTCATTAATTGTCACTGTACTCTAGCCGATAGAATTCGCAATTGGGTTAGTGAATTGCGATTGCCATGTCACCGAATATCACTGAATTCTCATGTTTTTGTAATTGATGTGCTTTGGTTGTGTAACGAGTAAATCGCAATGACCATGTTGACACGACGAGTTCCAAGATGGCTGAGATATATGGGTGTGGAATGCTACAAGCAAGAGTTCCAAGGCTCTTCAGATGAAGTGGCAAGAGACCATGTGAAGAAGATGATCTCAGAGGCATGGAAGAGACTCAACAAGGCATGCCTCTATCCTCGCCCATTCACCAAGTCCTTCACCAAGGCCGCCCTCAACACGGCCAGGATTCCCGCTGATGTACAATTATGATGACAACCATTCACTCCCTCTCCTTGAGCACCACATGAAGTCATTGCTCTTTAGAGGTCCTTCCTTTTAAGGGCTTTGCATCTTTATAATTAACTTAGACACCATGTAGCTATGTTTCGCCGTCCGGATTTTAACTAAGATAAGACTAGAGAGGATATGATATGAAATACAAGGACTTTGATATATCATGTTCACTATTTGATAATTGCAGTTATAAAGTTAGATATTTTCATATCTATCATATCCATTATTTGGTAGGAATTACATATCAATGTAAATGACAAATATGCCTTATATGTTGCCCCTTAAAAAAATACCATTCTAATCATCATAACCTCCCAAATCCAATTAAGAGAAAGGAAAAAAAAAAACTCCCAAATCGGACTACTTTAGAAAATTTGCGTATTAATGAAAAAAACATTGATCAAGATACAACGAAAGCCTTCAATTAAAGAAAAATATACAAGAAACTTGATGTTCTTTTTCCATTAAATTTTGCTCATAACATCAGCAAATTGAGCAAGGGGAAACATATTGTGAAACCAAAGCTTTAATACAAAAAGAGGAGCGTGTGCTAGCAAAATTAACAGTAGCCAGTCTTAACAACTAACTAGAAAGCAAGAAATCATCGTGCACCGGAAAAGCTCTCTTGGCCTTTCTTCTTCAGTACCGCCCATCTCTTCTTTGACTTATCCAAGTTGGACTTCTTCAAGCAAAGTACGGGGAAAGATGGCGTGCATGAAGCTTCCTCTATGAAACACGAAGAGGAAGTGTGGAGACAGTGAGAGAGAACTCTGAGACTACGCAGAAGAGATTGAAGAAAATGTGTAGAGTGTTCTTTTCCAAAAAATTCAGAGTGGTTTTTATGTTGTAATTAAACCCAAGTGATTTAGCCAGTTAAATTTGTGTAATTAGAATTTGTAATTCCTTTGTGAGATTCAAAGTTATTTCACTAGAAATTGTGCGGTGCTAAACATTGCGTGAGTTATTAAGTATCATTGAAGGCTAGGCAATACTAAGTATGTTTGAGTACTTGAGTGTGTCGTAATTTCCAATGTATCGCTTATTCTATAGTGTAATTTTATGTTGTTCTCCCTATGGATATAGGTCACACTGACCGAACCACATAAATCCGGTATCTAATATCATTTCCTTCATTTTGTCTATTTCATTATTATTTGATTCGCTTGTCCTTTATTTATAACAATTGATATTAGAGCTAAATTGGGCAAACCTAAAGCGAATCGGTAACGATGGAAGAAAAAAATGTGAGAATTGACCAATTTAACATGAAGGATTTTGATTTTTGGAAGATGCAGATTGAGGATTACATATACCAGATGATTCTGCACTTATATTCGGGGAGAAAATATATTCGGTAAGAGAATGTGATTGGGAATTACTGGATAGACAAGCGATGGGTGTTATTAGGTTAGTGTTGTCTCATAACATCGCATTTAACATCACGAAAGAGAAGGCCACTACGGGACTAATGAATGCCGAGTCGAACATGTACGAGAAACCCTTTGCAATCAACAATGTTTATTTGACGTGAGATCTGTTTCATTTAAGATGGGCGAAAGACCCAACCACAAAAAAAAAAAAAAAGATGGGTGAAAGTACGTCAATTGCAAAACATATCAACGAATTCAATATGATCGTTAACCAATTGAGTTTGGTTAAGATTAATTTTGAAGATGAGGTGCGTGCGTTGATTTCATTATCCTCATTGTATGATAGTTGGAATACTATTGTGTTGTTATTAATCCCTCTGAGTCAATAAGTTTGACGTTTGATGAGGTTCGCAATTTGATTATGAGTGAGTACATCCATAAGAAAGAACATGGTAAACCTGTGACATTTTAGCAAAAAAAAAATGGTAAACCTATGACTGATGCTTTAGTAGGTGAAAGTAGTAGAAAACTAGTACTCGTGTTAGCATGGATAATATAAACTTGAACAGACGTAGTCAATCTAGGACTAGTGGGGTTGTTTGTTGGAATTATGGTAAGAGTGGACATCTTAAAAGAGATTGTCCTAAGCTGAAAAATGAAAAAGGTAAGAGAAATACAGTTGAGTCTACAGATAATGTTGCAACTTTTGCTAAAAGTAAATTGGATAATGTCAATTATATCTCGTCTCTCATTAAGGATTTGTCGTTTGATGAATGGATTATGAACTCTAGTTTTTCGTTTCACATTACACCACATAGGAACTGGTTTATCAATTATTAGTGTACGAGTAGGGGTAAACCACAATTTGGGAACAACGATAAGGATCCAAAGAAGTCGATCCTGGAACTGAACTGGCCATCTGGTTCTGGGTCTGGGTCAAACCCAGAACCGGCTTGCTTTTTTTTTTTTCGTGGTTTCAGGCAAATAACTACACGGAACAAGGAGTTACAATAGATTCAGTAGCTTCTTTCCACGGTTCCCGTTTTGCAGATCTAACATCAAAGCAAAACTCAACCTTCTGAAAACGCCAAGCATTTATTAAAACTGAAAGAGAGTAAAGCACTCAATCCTAAACATCAAAGAGAGGAAGAAAGACACAGCATCTTCATTTCCTTTGAATTTTCAAAGCAGACTGGAAAGAGCAAGAAACCATCTCACACCACAGCCAGCAAAACCAAACCAAAAAAGGACGAACTGATATAAATGAAAAGAAGCAGACAAAAAAAGGCTAAAATAACCAAAAATCTGGAGAATCTAAGACGACCCAATAGAGTTAGTGAGGGAGGCTATACGAGATAATTTGAAACCTCGAACTACTCCAAACTCATACAGCTTTCCTTTATTGGAGAAGATGATGAGATCAATCTTGGCTTTGCAAAGCACAGAAAGCTTGAGAGAGAGTGATGTGGCATCGAAGAACCGGTTCTACCCAAGAATCGGCCCTGGTTCCTGGGTAGAGCTAACCGGTTCAAGGCATCGAACCAGTCGCCGTGTGAACCAGCCTGGATGCTCACCCCTACTAGAGATGTCCTTACATATTTTGACACGTGGGATTTGTCATAGATTGGTTTAAGAAATCTTCAATGTTCAACTACAGCAATTAGTCATAGAATGCCGCCATCGTTCCCCCAAACCCCTACCACCTCCGCTATTAGTCTGCCTTAGCCATGCCACTTCCATCTAATGTCGATCTTCATTGCCATTGCTTTCACCATTTATTGATCCCCACAGCTGCTATGTCTACCACCGACAGTCCATGCCTCCACCTTCCTCCACCGATTACCACCTCCAACACTACCTCCACATGGATTGATTGGCTTTTGTCAAAGCACCATTAATAATCAATACTACTGAGTGGTATAACAATAGAGGAGCTGAATGTAGAAACTACATAGAGATGGGTGAGAAGTATTTTCGAAACAAGAGAATTTATCTTGTCCACACTCAACTGAAGGAACATAAGAATAAAATGCCATGTTCCTTAAATGGGACCAGTCTACTGTCTTCTAAGTAAAAACCATCTATCTGTCAATACCTGCTCCACAGAAAAGATCTTCGAAACATTATGCTGTGCCAATGAAGGTATTATCAGCTCAAGATGCACAATAAATTTGGTCTGCAAAGTATGGGCACTAAAACCAAGCCTGTTCTTAATATTCTTTGAACCAATATAGGATAAGTAGAGTCGACAACAGATTAGATCATCAAGTTATGACATAGACCATACTTACGTATGCACATATGTAGATGCAACCTTATTTAGGCGATACGCAATTCAAAATTGTAAAGTATCAGGAAAAATACTTCAAAGACTGCATTGGAACTAAATAGCAACCATTAGGAACAAATGTTGCCAACTAAGCAGCAAGGAGACACTATCTTGGACAACTGTCTGTAATCTTGATATCGCACTAACAAATAACCTGCTCCTAGCACTATCGAAGTACAAAAAGAGATTACACTGGCTAGATACAAAAACATCAAAGTATTGAATACTTCTGTTAAGTAAGAGTACGGCGATGGATCGCCAAACTTCATTTCGAAGCTAAACCATCAAGATGCTAGCGCCAAGAAATTCCTTTTCAGCCTTAAAATTTGCACTGAGATTATCAATTTCAAATAAAGTGAGCAAAAACAGAGAGACCTACAGCTATGTTTACTTGCTGGCTGGAAGTTGCAAGCTATAACGGCGGTACTTATTTACCTTCCCAAGCTGCACAAGCTTCTCCACTTCCTCAATCCTTGACTCCTTCACCAACTCATCAACAACAAGCTGCAATACTGCCCCATCGACAAGGCAACGAATCTTGAAAATCTCTTCGCACAGCTCGTATGCAAAGTCAACATCTCCCTTCTGGCAAGCAAGTGAAATTAGCGTCCCAAATGTCGTCTTGTCTGGGTCGAAATTACTATTTCCTATTTCACTATACCACAGTTTAGCATCGTTCAGATTACCATACTGAGCAAAACCCTTAATCAAAGCATTCATGCTAAAAATGTCCGGGTTGGTTCCCTTCATCCTCATTTCTTTAACCGTCTCAACAGCTTCCTTCATTTTCTTCTGCGAAACCAATCCAAATAACTTTGCATTGTAGCTTCTGACACCAGGAACAATATTCTTCTCCTCCATCCTAGCCCAAATTTTGTCCCCATCAGCAGCTCTGTTACCCAGATAAAGCCCGGAGAGAAGCGTATTGAACGTGACCAAATCTGGCTCCAAGCCCTTCTTCTCCATCTCATCAAGCATCGAAATCGCAGTATCCAAAGAACCCATCGCGCAATACCCCTTTACAGCAATATTATAAGAAACCGAGTCCGAATCGATGGACAACTTCCCCGGCAACTCGCGGAACAGCTCCTCCATCCTATCAAACTTCTTGGAATTGACACAAGCGCCCAAGAGGGCATTCAAAGACAACACCGTGCGCTCACAGCTCAGCTCAGGCATTTCGTCGAACAGCTTCTGGGCATTCTCGAACATGCCGGACCTACCGTACAAGCTGATGATCCGGACCGCGAACCCTTCTTTGGCGATGTCCCTGTACTTCTTCTGCTCCTCCAGGATCTCCTCGATCATGTCGAATCGCCTGGCCGAGGCGAGGCGGCGGACGGCGTACTGGTACGTGCCGATCTTGGTGCGGAAATGGTCGAAGGCCGACGACTTCTTGAACTGCGCCACGAGGCGCTTCAGGCTGCGCTCCCTGTAGAGGAAATCGTGGGCCGACTTGAGGGTGGCGTCGGCGGCGGCGGTGGCCGCCGGATCGCCGCCCTGCACGGAGGTGGAGAATGCGCGCCTGAGGAGGCGAAGCGAGGAGGGTGTGGTGGTCATGCTCTGCGTCTTGAGGCTTGTGTGAGACTCTGCAGTTAGGAATGAACGGACGTGACCTTTGAACAACTGCGAAAATGGCGAAGGGTTTTGTGGTGGGGTTTAATCTTTGCGGGCTTGGGCTTGAAGAATCAAAGATAGGATTAATGGCCCGGTGAAAATCTGACGTCGGGCCTAAAATTCCTTATCTAGGTTAAACTCTGACGTCGGGCCTTAGATAGGATAGCATCCACTGAATTTGTTTGGGTGCACGTTCGGGAATGTTCAGTGAAAACAGTCTCGCATCAGAAATGTCGTGAAAAGTGGGATTGGCTCGTAACTCATTAGTTTAAACTTTTGAGTGTAAGTAGATCAAATTGATGAGTTCGGATTTGAGCTTGCTTTTAACAATCTCCTTAGGCAAATGATTTGAACTTTGACTGCATTGACCGAATAAGTGGTATGATGGCCGATGATTTAAATGGGTGCGGCCCAACATGTGTGGATCTACATCTTGTGAGTATCTTAAAGAAGGAATCTCGAATGTGACGCCCCAATTAAGGTGGCGGATGGTGTCATCCAGCTTCCTGCCAAACATAGCCTGCCAAGGTGATCAAGGTAGAGATTGAAGGACAAATGCTGGATATTCAAGCTCAGAAAATGTCAGAGCACAATGGTATATGAATTGAGGAAAAGCGCAAGTGACACAGGAAGCTCATGCATAAGGGAGAGATTTGTTGAGGTGCACTTGTTGACCCATCTTGACTTAAGTTTGTAACTGAACGTGAATCCAATTAGATACGTTGATGGTTCAGTTTAAAGATTTCTCTTAACGATCCCCCTAAGTGGAAAAATCGGCTGCACTGATCCAATAGAATTGCATAACTTGATCCTAGTGTAAACAAGATCAAAATGGAGTGATCTTGTAATTTCATTTTGAGAGAGAGAGAGATACACACCCTCACAAGACATACAGTGAGACAATCTCTCGCCAATTTCCACAAATTTTTGCAAGTGGAGGGTTGTCCCCACGTGAATTGTCCCTTGATGTTATGACAAGACAAAGGAGTTTCCAACGGGGTTAATTTAAAAAAAATATATCAACTTTAGGTCGAGGGATAATTCTAACTCGAACTTTTTTTTGTTCCATAAAAAAGCATCAACTTTAGGTCGTGGACAATTATGGCCTGAACTTTTTTTTGTCCCGTAAAAAAGCACCAATTTTAGGTCGAGGGACAATTCTGGTCCGAACTTTTGTTTGTCTAGTAAAAAAGCACCAACTTTCACTTAAATCCCAAATCTGACCCTTATTGACTTAAAACTATTGATTTTCCAACTTGACTATTCCGCCTTAGCAATAAATCCACATGACTTGCTGACTAGATTTAAAACATTATTCATTGTCTTATTCTCTAAACCACAGTTTGAAGAGTAACGGTGAAACTGTTCATCTCATTCACTTCACCGGCAAGTAAAAAAAATCTCCAGATTGAATTTTTCTAGCCAAACTTCGTCGTTTTGTCGTAATCTGAAGCTGTAGACCACTGCTTGTCGACAGACACCATGGAAGAGATTTGCCAGGCTCACCACCATAACTTTTTTTCTCAAACAAGGGTAACTTCATACAGAAAATCAATGGGGGGCCAAATTTGGGATTTAAATGAAAGTTGGTGCTTTTTTACGAGACAAAAAAAAGTTCAGGCTAGAATTGTCCCTCGACCTAAAGTTGATATTTTTTTATGGGATAAAAAAAAATTCGAACCAGAATTATCTGTCAACCTAAAATTGATACTTTTGTTTTTTAATTAATCCGTTTCCAACGTCATCTCGATTGGTGAAGTTTTACTTTTGAGGACAACACTCAACAATGAAAGGGATCGAGACAAGAGCGACCTTGGAAAGGGTGCCAAACACGTGAAATGTCTGGCAGGGCCGCTTTTTGTTTTTAGAACTTCTCTTGTTTGTTGAGTTTGCTTTTCATGTCATTTAGTCAGCATACACATCACGTGAAGACAGTGGGAGAGGATCGGCCTAAAATATTTGCGGCAGAACTTAAGGACAAACAAAACGAGTATCACATTTGGCAAAAGAACAACTAATAAGTTAGTACTAGAAATTTAGGGCCACCAAAAGGTGAGTCCAGCTTGGAATCATGTGAACATAAAAGAGGCTCCTCTTGTTTAGACTCGTTAAAAGTAGAACGTGCTCAATGCTAGTTTGGCATATTTCATCTCGGTAGCAAAGCTATTTCTGTTTGAAGAAGAGTCTTTTCCTCCACAGTAGCGGTAGCAACGTCAACCAAGTCGATGTCAAGTTACTCTACCAAATCCACCGCCTTTTGGTGATGTATCACCACTTTCTATTGCTCATTTTAGAAAACCGCCATCGATTTTCCTACATCTTTGGCCGGTGGAAATTTATTCCAATCATGCCTGTGATTGGTGAGTCATAAGTCATGGACATCACCTTCATGCAAGCTTAACTAAATATCAATGTAGATCATGTCTATATCTTTAAACCGCTAGTCGACACACTGATTGACAGAAAACAAGACCGGTCCAAATAAAGTTTAGCTCACACCACTACTTTAGGAAGATATTATGATCCACACAATCCGACTATTTTCTAAGTGATGTGGGTTTCAGGGGACACTCCTACGTCGCCGTTCCAAGTGCATGTCAACATTCAATCGCATGAATATGTTTGCCGTTTGGAAGCTTGTAAGAGACTCCGGCATAAAGTGTGGTCCAGATTATTTGGCTGTCATTACGACTTGGGGACCATCCGATTTGTTGATTTTTGTTTCCTTTTTTTCCTATTTTAAACCTTGTAATAGGGGTTAATACCACGAAAAACCTTAAATTTATACACCTGTGATAAATTTACCCGAAAATAATTGAGGGATAAGAGCAGCAGGGACTGCCATAACTTTCATACGGCGCTCACTCGAGTGCCATAACTTTTTTTCGCTCACTTAAGTACCACATCAGAGTAAAATCGATCATTTGAGTGTCATTTCTAGCAAATTGTCCTACATGGATTCTTTATTAATCTTCCATTCCAATGTGGATTTTTTTTTTATTAATTGTCTACGTCGGCGTCGGCAATGCCACGTAAGATGACCGGTGTCCACGTCTGATTTTCTGATGAGGCAAATCGTGATGGCACTTAAATGATCGATTTTTCAAATTTATGGCACTCAAGTAAACGTCGTACAAAAGTTATGGTATTCCTAGTATACTTATCCCAAAAATACTTATACATGTGTCCGTTGAACGAGTGATTACTTAAATATTTGGGAAAATTATCAATTTAGTCATAAACCTATTTTACGGATGTCAATTCAGTTTTAACTTTCTAATTTTGTCAATATAGTCCTACACATTTGCTCAATATTTAAATGTAGCCTTTCTTGTCAATTACTGTCGCAAATTGTGACGTTGAAATCAACAAATTGTCCATGTTAGCGGCTAGTGATGACTAGACGCCACGTGAGTGATTTTTTGTGGCAATTGGCGGAAAAGACTACATTGAAATATCGTCCAAAAGTTTAGGACTACATTGACAAAACTGAAAAGTGGGGCTGATTAAGTGGAATAATTAGTTTTTGACAAGAAAATTATGACAATTGTAATTGTATTATAAGACATTCCAATCAAACCATTGGCATTTACATATTTTTTTGTCAATTCTAAATGCATCAGAATTTCCAAAGAAAGAAACGAAAGCAATGTAAGAAATAATCTTAAATCTAGGGCCTGCAAGAGATATTGTGGTCAATTTAAGGTAATAGGGGGTGTCAGAAGTCAAAAAATGGATGGAAAAAGCGCGAGTCTTTATTATTTTCACATAATTGCTCATTTAAATGTTAAACCTAACATACTTATATATATTTGAGTTGATGTGAGTAAAATAAGTAGAGAGTATGATGGGTTTCTAGAGTCAAGGGAGGTACGGTGGTTGGGAAAAAGGAGAGGCGAATGAGGTAATTTATAATTACTACTACTTATGTATAAGTACATATTAATTATTTTGATGATATTTTAATTTCGATCTTTGTTGAAAATTAAATTTAAAATTTTTTCGATTTTATATGCAATGGGCCTTATTCAAGAGAAGTACCTAGTTTTATATAAATGGTACTCACTATTAGCAAAATGTGGCTTTTTTCTTGTTTTTTTGTTGTAATGACCAAGTATCTAATTTATTTTTTTTCACCCTTTTTCTCCCAGTCCCACTGTTTTCTTCCAAAAATTTGAAGACAAATGCTGACCCCGTCCAAGGAAGATGAAAGAAATATGTCGTCTGTACCCGTATTTGAGAAATTTATTCATTTGAAAATCTCACCACGAGATTTATTGATTTGAACACTCGTTTTTTGCATGCAATTCACCACAATCACCAAATTGGATGTCTGGATCTCACGTCACTTTGAACACTCACGGCACACATCAATACGGATTCGACTTGACCCCGCTGACTTCTGAACATACAAGTCATGTAAAACAAACCTTGTGAATACTTACATATATACCACCGTCAAAGGAAGAAGTTAAAGTTTAAACTCGATCTAAGAAGAGCAATTGAGTCGAGATAGGAAACAAAATGGACGTGGGACTTTTCTATATTTGTTTGCCTACTCCAATTCGCAAAAGAAAGTTGCCGAATTTGGCTTTGCTCAATTTCGGACGTCCAAAAAAGAATCCAACCTACAATTCATCTTTGGTCAAGTTTTATTCACGGGCCCAAACTCAAGACATATTTTAATACTTGGTACCATTAGAAATCGTGCAAATACACCTGAATACACGTAAAAACAAGTGACAAATGAGTAATATTTCTATGTGCAAGGCGATATTATAAGTTTTTAGATGTGATAAGTGTATCGGAAGACCTAAAACTTGTCACGAAAGTGTAATTAAGTCTTAAAATTTCAAAAAGTGCAATAAAATCCTAAAACTTATCGCAAAAGTACAATTGAGTCATAAAATTTTCAAAAAGTACAATCAAGTTCTAAAACATGTCAAATTGGTCCAATCAAGTCCTTCCGTTGATTGCACTTCTTGAAAGTGTTAGGATTTGATTGCACTTTCGTGACTACTTTTAAGACTTAATTGCACTTTTTGAAAGTTTTATCACTTAATTGCACTTTTGTGATAAGTTTCAAGACTTTATTGTATTTTTTGAAAGTTTTAAAACTCAATTACACTTTTATGATAAATTTTGGGACTTTTAATATACTTGTCCCTTTTTAGATAGTATGGATTGCACATATCATAAGCATGTTTCGGTCCAGCTGGGGTGTGGCGCACGCTTGTACCTGTTCCCGAAAAGCAAACTCTGGGGTCCCATCCATATATGGCACGTGATATAAATGCATCCCTTTGGAATCAGTTGAACATTTCCTCACGTGATATAAATGCATCCCTTTGGAATAAGTAAAACATTTCCTCTTGCCTATAAATAGGACAGAGAGAATAAAGGGGATCATCAGGAGCTAATAATTAATTCGCTCGCATTCTCTCTCATCCCTCTCTTTGAAGGACTCTTTCTATACTCATCCAAAATGGCCTTGTCAAGAGCATCCTTTGCTTTCTCACAAGGCCCATTCGCTTCAAAAGGAGCTCCTCGAACAGACAAGATTAAGCATCTGCAGAATGCAAATTCTCTCTCCTCAACGAACAACAGATGTAGTATTTCCTCACATCAGACCTTGGTTTCTACTCCTTTTAAGGATTATATTCACCCAACCGGAAAGAGAAACTTTGCCATTGAGGTTTGCTTGTCCCTTCTTCTCATGTAACTCTTTTAGTTTTGCACATTGACGATTTCACTCGTTTGTTATCATTTAATCATTAGAATAGACGAAAAACACTTTACTAGGTTCATCTTATATTCGAATCTTGAAAGGAAAAAGAAGACGCAAAATCCTTATTTTTTGTGTTTCAGGATGATATTCGAGGGCGGCACGAGAGGAGTTTAGAAGAAGTGAAGCAATTATTCAAGCAAGTAAGAGGAGATTCGCTCGAAAGTTTGGTAATGGTGGAAGCTCTCCAACGTCTTGCCATTGACTACCATTTTGAGGATGAGATTGAGACACTCCTGCAAAGGCATTTTTTGATCTCCACCTCTCAGTCTCATTCTCATCACATTGATGCCGATAATCTGTATGGAACAGCACTTCGTTTTCGGCTCTTGAGGCAAGGAGGCTATCCTGTTCCTTCAGGTTAATGAAATATCCTTCACTTGATGATATGAAATACAGTTCCTAACTGATGTAATGGAATTCAAAAGAAATTCAGACAAGGCGTATCAAAGTTGATCTCTCTCTTCTTTGCTTTTACTATTTCTACTTACCGTCCACTACCAATATGCTAACATTTTTTAGCTTTTCCCCATTTGATCAACAGATGTGCTTCAACGTTTTCTATACAAAATTAATGATGGGACTAAGAAAGGAAAGGCACGGGACAATGACATTTTAGGGTTGGCAAGTTTATTCGAAGCTTCCCACCTTGGCACTGAAGGAGAAGATGTTCTTGATGAAATAGGAGAGTCAATTGGTCAACGCCTCCATGCATCTTTGGCCGACCTTGACCATCTTCAAGCCAGATTCGTGAGAAATTCATTGGGCAATCCGTTCCACAAGAGCTTGGCCAGGTTCACGGCTAATGAGTTTTTGACGAATTCTATAGGACATTCTTATAGCTGGACCAAGAATTTAGGGGAACTTGCCCAATTGGACATGAACATTGTTAGATCCGTGCATCAACGTGAAATCCTCCATATCACCAAGTACGTACACATGATCCAAACTTTCTATCTAGATTTGTGGCTATAACTAGTTAGAAATATCAGGTGGCCCCCCATCATATCTCCCTTAGATTCCTCAATTGGTGACTATCTTGATTAATACTTCTTATGTGTTAATCAGCTGGTGGAAAGACCTGGGCATGGCCAAGGAGTTGAAATACGCGAGGGACCAGCCATTAAAATGGTACATGTGGCCAATGGCCATCCTCACCGATACAGGCTTGTCCCAGGGGAGAGTGCTCATCACCAAATCCATCTCATTCATCTACATCATTGACGACATTTTTGATGTCTATGGCACAATAGATGATCTCACGTTGTTCACAGATGTCGTCAACAGGTACATAATTTGGAGTTTTACAACGGGCACCATCCGTGAAAGTCTCTTTTTACACATACACGATATCGATCCTAGCATGCGTATGTATTTTCGCAATAGACAACACATGTCATGATCTCAAATCTGTACCTTTTCACTGACCATATTTTTTCTCATATAAATCCGTATGACTTTGCGATGCGGTATACTCCAGCGAAAGTTTTTCTTGAACAAGCGGTCCCAAATCCTGTGGACACACGCATAAAAATTTCAAAACCCCACTTGTACAAGGACAAAAATACTTGACGTCATGTTTTTACTAGATAAGCCCAAGATGTAATGTCTAATTCTATTGGTTTGTTACTGATTTGATATTCTTGATCTCTCAGATGGGAATGTTCTGAAAAGGATAACATACCAGAGTACATGAGGGTGTGCTTTCATGCTTTGAATGATATTACCAATGAAGTCAGCTCGGTTGTGTACAAAAATCATGGGTGGAACCCATTATGCTCCTTAAGGAAAACGGTACAACTTTTCACTCTCACTCTCTCTCTTCACATTTCTTCTTTTCTTTTTCTTCTCTTGTTTACTTCTTTGAAGCACAGATAAATCATAATGTGTTTCGTGTCTGGGTTGACTTTTACTTATTACTTCTTACTTAATCTAAATTTCACGACGCACAAATTTTGCTTTTCATTGATCAAGAAACCTGAAACTTTTACGGCATGTAAATATTAGCACGTAAATTCGCGTCCTCATTTTTGTATTTTGTCTCCAATTCATGGCCAGTGGGCGAGCCTGCTGAATGCCTTCTTGGTGGAGGCAAGATGGTTCGCGAGCGGTCACTCCCCGACAACACAAGACTACTTGGACAACGCGATTGTCAGCTCCGGAGTGCACGTCTTATTGGTCCACTTATTCTTCCTTTTGGGTGAGAAAATCGACCCCCAAAGTGTCGATCTTTTAGAAAAAACACCTGAAGTCGTATCTTCCACTGCTTCTATTCTTCGTCTATGGGACGACTTGGGAAGTGCCAAGGTGAGTGATAAAAATATCATGTACGTGTCCTTTTTGACAAAGCTTCTCACTTTTAGGGTGAATTCGGTAATTATCAATCTATTTCGGCCGATAAAATTAGTAATTGGTTTAGTGAATTTGATTGCCCCGTCACCAAATATCACTGAACTCTCGTGTTTTGTAATTGATGCGCTTTGATCATGCACTGAGTTAAAGGCACAATCATTGTAAATGCTTTCTCTTCTTTCTTTTTTGCCCTCCCTTTTGAGGATGATTCCACTAATATATGAGCAATTGACAATGTTGACAGGACGAGTTCCAAGATGGCCGAGATGGGTCTTATGTGGAATGTTACAAAGAAGAATTCCAAGGCGCTTCAGATGAAGTGGCGAGAGACCATGTGAAGAAGATGATCTCAGAAGCATGGAAGAGGCTCAACAAGGCATGTCTCTATCCTCACCCATTCACCAAGTCCTTCACCAAGGCCTCCCTCAACACGGCCAGGATGGTCCCACTGATGTACAACTACGACGCCAACCATTCGCTCCCTCTCCTTGAGCACCACATGAAGTCATTGCTCTTTGGAGACCATTCCTTTTAGGGGCATTGCGTCTTTGTTCACTACTTTAGACACCATATGGGGTTGTTGCTTCTTGTTCCCCTAGTGTCGGACTGATTCTAGCTGCAGCTGAATCAGCACGATGTCTGCTCGCAGGATGGTTTTCTCAATAAGCAAATGGATAGAGGTATGGCTTTTTCAGTCTCTTCCATGCCTCTGAGATCATGTTCTTCGCATGGTCTCTTGCGCCGCATCTTCTGAAGAGCCTTGGAACTCTTGCTTGTAGCATTTCACATAAAGAACTTCTTGAGTTTTTACAAATTCTTCCATCTATATATGTATTGAGTCTTTAAGACCACCATTTACTCGACCATGAGTATAGTTCCCGATTCCTACATTGACTTCATGGTGGATGCCACCTAATACATGTTCAACGAAATGGAGAATTTGACATATGTACTTGGATTTGTGGATTCATGGAGTCTTGTATGACTTAGGTCTTGATAACTAGGCAATCCATCGCCTATAAGCTTTCTCTATGTGTATACTTGCCTGTGATCCATTTCAAATGCTTCTTATTAAGACATGCTCTTGACACTTGTTTGGTCAAATTACACAACGTCACTAGCTATTGTGGAATAATTTGAAGAAAGTTTGTGAAAGTGTATCGCTGGAAAAGTTTTAATTTGCCACTTACCTTAATATGTAGTTATACATGTGAGTTATTGGTTCCAGGATGAGTTGATTTCGGCCTAGCACCAAAATACCGAACCAGTGACTCCAATTCCAAAAGATTGGAATAGGGAACCAAACCGGTCAATTCTAGAAATGCTTGTTCCCAGCTGGTTCCTAGCGAACCAATCTATTGGTCAAGTGGTTATGTTATTGTTTGATCCTATTGAAGGCCATTGTTCAAATCTTAATAAGTGAAAACTTATTTAATTTTCCAAAAGGGGCCTTAAAAGCTTTTAAACTGGTTCATCATGGAAACCGGGGTTGGACAGTGGTTTCCGCCTTAGAACCGGTACCGAACCATTTCTCCTCAGAATTAGCTTGGCACAAGCCAACAAAGCCGGTTTTGGCCGATTCCTCAGTTAAATCTGTAATATTGACTTCTCTTGGTTGACTTGAAAAAATCTGCTTTAAAATATAAATATATATTTGACCCGGTCAACAAAGAAGAAGGAAAAGTGGACGCTCAGCTTGTTAAAAAAGACTCTGAGCAAGCGCAATGAAAAGAGAAAAAAGAAAAGAAAGAAAGGAGAAAGAAAATAAAGGAAACGGAAAAAGGGAAAGAGGGCTTTTGTTCGTACATGTCATGAAAACCTCGTCAAGCTAAATTAACACTATTTCACAATGCCCTATAAGGATTCAAGCCTTTTGTTCATTTAATCGGAGTAATTTCCTGAGTTATGGCACAAATTTGAAATATGTGAAATTTAAATTGCGAGGTCGATTTCGAATCAAAATGAATGATGGTATCGTGAGGACATTAACTGGAGTGAGGCCCACTCTAGGGTTGTAGAAGAACATAATTCTTTGAATGTCTTGGATTGAGCTGAGTGCCGATATTTTTTAGAATATGGAGTTTTGAAAATTGTTCGAGGTGCCTTGGTAATAATGAGAGGAATCAAGCATAGTGGTCTATATGAGTTTTAAGGTGACATAATGATGAATTTTGTCGCGAAGACGTCGGATGCATTCGTTTGAGAGTCTAAATTGTGGCATATGCATTTGGGGCACATTAGTGAGAGAAGCCTGAAGGTTTTAAGTGAAAGGAATCTGTTGTGTGATTATGCTACTGACAAATTGAATGTGTGCATGGCAATAGGTGCAGTTCAGTACGGTTGTCAGAGAAACCATGAAGATTGCATAGTTAATCCACTTGGATGTTCGCAGGTTATCACGGTTGCCTTCGAGGAAGCGTGCCAAATTTATGCCAACAAGTGGATGACTACTCGAGGAAAACTTTGGTGTTTGTTCTGAGGCATAAGTTTAATGCTGTTGTCAGAATCAAGCAATTGAGAGTTTTGATTGAAAATGAGACCGATAAAACGATCAAGCATGTGTGAACTGATAGTAGCATGAAGTTTTGCTCGGGGCTATTAAATAAATTATGCATAAAGAAAGGCATAGTGAAACACCATACTAATACTAGTGAAATACAACAGGTTGCAGAGTTGATAATCAAAAAGTTTCCAGATCTGACATGTCTCGTGAAAAGGAGTAAAATGAAGCTCTGGAGACAACCTATAAAATTCTCTCTAGTGCTGGTATGGCTAGGAAATTCCTGGCAGATGTGCTTAATACTGCTATCTATATGATGAATAGGAACCATCAATTGCGATTGGATGTTGGATTCCAAAAAAAGTGTGGTTAGATAACATTATTGATTTTTCTATTTTTAGAATATTTGGGTGCTTGCGTTATGTTTGAGTAAGTGATGGTAAGCTCAATAGGAGGGTAAGAAAGTGTGTGTTCCTACGCTATGCATAAGGTGAGCAGGCTATTGGTTGTGGTGCCTGAAATTAAATTCACTTGATATCATTAGAGAAGTTACACTTGACAAGTCTCCAGTACTTCTGGGTAAGAGTGATTGTGGCAGTCCTTGTATGGATCTAGATGGTGTTTAGCTTAAGGTGTAGTTGTAATCGGAAATTCTTAAGGTAGTATAGACTAACGTGATAATCGACACAGATGGTGCTTGCAACGAGGTGCAACCTATTGATCCAATGGTTGCTGTAACTACTAAGTTTGACAAAGTGCGTCGTGGATCTCTTGACAGATATGTATGCAATGGTGGTTTTGCTTTAATCTGTGGTTGAGAAGGTTGGGCTGAAAAATCATTATGGAGTGGTTAAAGGTGCATTTGGAGTTGGTATCATAACAAGGTCCACAACATGGCGAGGAAGATGGCTGTGGCGGTTGAGCCCATGCGGGACTTTGGGAGAGTAATAGCAAAGTTCAGATGTGCAGCGAAGCGATTGTTACTTGACTCAAACGTTGAGCCAAGGTGGAGATTATTGAAATTATATCTTGAGTTTGAGCTTGTGAATGAAACCCGATCCAAGATGAAGTGTAAGGAAGCCCAATCTATTAAAGAAAAGTCCAAAAGTTAGATTCTCAATGGATTTAAAAAAATCGAGCAAAGCAGGATACGGTCACTTTGTTTTAACGAATTGGAGTTAGCTTCTTATTCCATGTTTTAGTTCAAAAGTGTTTGTTGGACTTTGACCATGGAAAGTGGACTTCAAAAGGTAAGTGTCAGCTTGCTAATTGGGTTAGAGAAAGGAAAGAAACAAACAAGGAAATTATACTTCTTGTTTGAGTCAACAAAGCTTCAGAATATATAAACTTGTCAACTAGAGGATGCTCTCATTTGTTAGGAGCACACAGCAGAAGTTTGATACCTTTACATGAGAAGATCGCCAAGAAGGAGCTCAAGTTTGAAGCCGTCAATATATCTAATTGGACCTACCTTCACTCAAATATTTAAGCCAATAAGTTATGGGACAACTAGGAAATATTAACTACTTCACATTATACCAATTCTCTGTTGTGAGACTTTTCTCACACACCTTACATATGCATCTCAACTATCTTCCCTTCACATGTGAGCTTAAGGTTAGGTATGTTCCCCCTTAATCCAAGTATTTTTTTACATCAAGATATATCAACTTAAATCTCCATCAATGTCCAACTTCATCGCTGGTCTCTTTCTCCAAATTTTCTCCAATTGAACCATGAAATTTGTTACTGGGCCCGCGTAGCTACACCACAATGGCCACCACCCTAGTCTCTTTCTCCAAACTTGCTCGAACCAAACTATGAAATCTGCTAAAGAGCCCGCGTTGCAACATGGCAATGCCCACCGCCCAAGAACTATGTTGGTCACTAGATTTCAATTTTGACAAACACCGAAATAGATTGGGGACCCCACCAACCTACCGTCTACGCTGATACCATTTTTTTGGGAGTACGCATCAGAAGCCCAATACCTTCACCTGGGAAAATTGGCAAGAGGGATCCCAAGTCCAACGCTGTCAATATATCCAATTGAACCCATCCTCATTTAAAAAAAATTAAGTTAATGAGTTATGGGCCAACTAACATATATTAGCTGCTTCATATCATATTAATTCTTCGATGTGAGACTTTTCTGACATAATTCACACATGCATCTTAACAAAAATATTTAGATGTGATATTATGACATTGACATAACTCAAACAAAGCTCCTCTTACTCACTTGAATAATCTCTTTACTTCTTCTAACCTCCTCTGGTGCTGCTCTTGAAGATCATCCTAAAACACGAACATGCGAATTCGGAGTCTTCAATTTTCATTCAAGATTCAAATAGGAGATGAACCTTGCAATATGTTTTTCATGGATTCTAATTGCTACATGATAACAAACGAGTGAAACTTTAATTGTTGGTGTACAAAATATGAGAAAAAAGGGCAAGCAAACCTCAATGGAAAAGGATCTCTTTCGGTTGGGTCAACATAGTCCTTAAAAGGAGTAGAAACCAAGGTTCAACGTGAGGAAACACTCCATTTGTTGTTCGTTGAGGAGAGAGAATTTGCATTTTGGAGATGCTTAATCCTGTCTGCTTGAGAGTTTCCTTTTGAAGCGAATGGAGTTTGGAAGGAAACAAAGATTGCTCCTGACAGGGCCATTTTGGAATAGAGTCCCTTAAAGAGATGGATGAGAGATGATGTGATGGGGTTGTCGCGACCTCCCTGAGCCGGCCCCGCCGCCTAAGGGGTTTGGCTAATGGATTACTAAGTTAAACCTAGCTCGAGCTCTCCCAAGCCCATACCAATTCGGGACTTAAGTTTAAGTTATTAACATGCAAATCAATTTCATCTTGGAGTCGCCACTAATCGATTTTCGGTGGGTCGATTAGACACCCAAGTGAAGCACAGGAGAAATGCTTCACTTCTATGAACCAGAGATTCAATGGGTACGAGGACTTGATTACACTAATTGACCAATTAGTGCCCTTTCGGCACCTAACCTTGTTCAATTACCGCCTATACGTGTTCACACTAATCGGGAGTCTCAAAATTCCATTCCTAACTAAGCTAAGGGAAGCAACAATCAATATCTAAACCTAACATGCATAATCGACCACATGCGAAGTTACGTTAAACGCACAATTCAAAGTATATGAAACAAGCAACATGCAATCAAAAATGACACTAATCATGCAAAAAGGGCAAGAAAAGCTAATTCCAAAGTCCAAATAAATTTTCGATTTTTCGAAATTTTTTTAATTAATTTTTTTAAAATTTTTTATAAAAATTTTTTTGAACTTTTTATTATTATTAAAATAATAAAATAATATAAAACAGACCGGGTCGGATCTCCACATCCGACCCGGATAAA